CCGATTTCACTGGGTTAGCAAGAACCGCTCTTAGACTTTAATTTTAATATCACGACGTGTCATTGTTTTGCTGAGCAGCTATGCAGGCATATGTGAGTTATTGAATATAACTTGATTTCAATGTAATGATTTAATAAATTATTTATGGAGTCATGTGGCAATTTTAAAGTTAATTTTATTAAATGGTTTTTGTGGAAAAGACTTTCTAAATAAAATCAGTTTTAATAGAACTTGTTTGTGTGGAAGTATTTGAAGTTTATGCTTATGCCACTAGATGGTGACAAATCTCCATACCTTTCGCCAAAGCAGAATTTCTTCTTGCTTATAGTTTCAATTAAGCTCTTTAGGTTCATGACTGATACTAAGGGGTTGTAACTACGTTGGCTAAAGCTCAATCTAGAGTGATAACTTGAGCACTTCATACTCTGAGTTGCCCTTCACTTATTCTCTAACTTTTGTACTAATTTAACTTAATTTCATGCTGTGTATAAAGTAGTCTTTTCTCTTGATTTAGTGAAGTCAGAACTATGGGAGTTGGATTTTTTTTTTTTTTTTTTTTTTTTTTTCTTCTTCCCTTCTTGGGTATGTTTCTGACTAGAAGTAGTCTTTCTGTTGAAAAGGAAAATGGTGTATGGTTTGAGATTCAATCACTCTGTAGACTGTTTTCAAGTCTCACACTAAAAGGAGCACTAATGATTTGCAGATGCTTGTGAGGTTAAGTATTTAGACTTCTCTACAATCCGAATCCTGTGAAGTGTTTTGACTGGAACTGACATTGAAAGTTTTTACATTCTGCTCTGAACTGATAAGAATGTAAATGTGTTCCTGGAAATGCAATGCAAGTTGTTTTGGCTAAAAGCGTCTGCCAAATGCATAAATGTGTAGTGTGAGTATAGCAACCTGTCTCTCAGATTGCATCTGTTATTCATGTGAATAAGCACTGATTTAGGCTTACCGATTAGGCGTTTGTCTGAAGTGCCAGTTAATGGAGAGAGTGGAAAACCTGCTAAAAATAGTACTGTGTGTGTGGGCATTACTTGTTTATTGCATATAAACATGGTTTATGCTAGAGACCCTTTTAACTGCATGCGCTTCATAATTGTTGCTGTGGGCCCTCTGATTAATCACTATGCGATCCATATTTATCAAAGGTATTTAATCTTAATGGATCCAAGGAGACATTTAAAAGAAATTGTACACTACAAATACACAAGATTTTCTAATATTTTTCCTTCAAACTGTAATTATGTAATCACTTTAGGTCTACTTTAGATGAATACAGTATATAAAGGAAGTGGCTGTACTGTATCAAGTGTATCACAATTGCTAATTGCTAAAGATTTAATCATGGTATTGAATTAAGTACAAAACTATAGGTCTCCCATGATGTATACACTGAAAAAAAGTGCATATGCCTTTTTATTCTAATAACTAATTGTTTAAACTTGATCTGAGTCAATAAATGTAGTCCTCTGTCATTGGTCAATTCAGTTTTTTTAAATTAAAAAAATAGTTTTTTACAATTGCTATGACAGATTTTTCAATACTTTTAACAATTTTCCAAAACAGTGAGCACTACATCTGGCTGTGTAAGCTATACTACGAACACATTTATTGTTGCTTTAACACAAAATGCATACAATGAACACAAATTTAAAATGCTTGAACTTCTTTTACACACAAGCTCAAACAAGACCAAAACAATGGATTTTTACTGCCAAAATTACCATTGCTTTAACACTGTATGTCAGAACAGATAACACCATGTTCTAAACCTAATCTTACAGGCTAAAGTCAATGTAAACAGCTGTTTATATTGTGAATTGAAAAACAAATAAATCCCCTGTATTTTATTCTATTGTTACTGAGAAACAGCTGATTGAATAATGCAAATATGGGACAATGTGGCATCACAATTCCAGTGCAGTCATGGCCTGGTTTCATCCCATCAGAGGATGATGTCCCCTTTCCCTTTCTTAGCCTGGAGATGGAAGGTTTTTGACCATCGTCTATAGTATGTATGCAAATGCTTGTATATATGGAGGTGTGTGCATACATGTCCATATATACTGTATATGTAGGCTACACGTATATATGTACTCTGTTTCTGTGGCTTGTACATACCTGTATTGCCTTCTAAAAGGAAAAATAAATAATTTGATCACAAAAAAAGTTTTTTGACCATCGTCCACAGGACCAAATCTCCCTCCTGGATGCAATGGATTCTGCATCTCAAGAAATCCCAGCTAAACACAGCAAGGGGTAAATAAGGAATGCCAAATGATTCTTCTCAAGATGCCTTGATGCCTTGCCAGAATAGTGTGTGATGTGGATGAGAACATGTGGCCAAATTGAGAAGACCGGGATGGTTACAGTCAATATAATTTTTATTTTCACATACAGTAATGCTGTAAATGGCAAGTATTGCATATTTTTGTTATCTTGCAGAAATGTCCTATTGCAAATAAAGCTTTTACTGCACCAATTCTGTCTCATTTTTTTCATAAACTTTCTATTCTGCTATTCTGAGAAGGGTCATTCATTTTTTTTGTATTGAATTTCTACAACATAGGAAACTGTAGAGAAGCTTCAAAATAAACTGCAGTGCAAAACAATCTACTGTGTAAACAATCCAATATATTATAATGGCACACCTGACATACTGTATAATATACTATAAAATAATGCAGTTTCTGTAATTCCATCTCATGTTAGTGTTTTTTGTGACATTGTGCTATGATTGACTAAATGTCCCTATTGGAAGAGAACATGTGTTAGTGTTTTGGTAGACATAGTATATTGTGTTAGTGGATTATTGTTTTTTTGAAAATTAGTGTTGGAGTTTAGTTTACAGTGTGTGATTTTGAGCATGAAATTAACCGTTTTGCCAATTGACTCTGTGCACGAGAAAAATGCTAACTTCCGCCTTGACGGCAGATGTTGGGTACTTCGGTTCCGGTTGCCGTTGTTTACATCCTACATCAGTGGACCGGCTATCTAAAGCTTAGCTATCTAAATATATTTGTCTAAAACTATGTTCGTTTGTTCATTGTCAAGTCAACCAACACAGTTTTCACTCATATTTGGGTGGAGCCAGGCGCTGCTGCATTGTGAAAAGTAAACGATATTTCACATTTTGTCACCGCACCCAAGCAGTCGCTTTACAGAGTGGAGCGTTGCGTATCCATGACAACTAGAAGGAAGTTTTTAGGCTACTAATTATTTATTATATTATACCCTTTAACCAGGAGAAGCCCCTGGGTTTAGAACCTATTTTGCAAGGAAGACCCGTTTAGAAATATGTGTGAACAGCCTAATATGTGTTAAACAGCCTAACTTGATAACGAACGAACCAACGTCGGATACCTTTACTCCCTGTATGACATGTATAGTGGTTGTCAACACTGATCTATACGACATTCTATATGGATAGTGGTTGTCAACAACATAGCCTCTGAACATCATAAACAAAACAATGGCCAGCACAAACTGTTCTGGAAAATGCACTTTCTAACGCATGATTTCGCATTTTATAATGTATAGAGAGATATAACAGTTACCAAATCGCATAGCTTGAGCACGTAGCATGGCAACATTAATATCCGAGTAATTCCACGTGTACCGCGTATCTACACGCCGTCAAATGTCTGAGCGAAACAAAACAAAATGTAGATCTACATCTGGGGAGCGATATTTATTTTTTCCTAGGATGGTAGGAGTGACGGGTAGGTTGGGGTTGAGGTAGGTCATATGCTATATATATATATATATATATATATATATACACTGTATATATATATATATATATATATATATATATATATCAATATAATACACTATATATATACAATAATAACGTTAAGTCAACGGTATTCATAAACACGCTGAAAAGAGATTATGCGTGTTGATAGCATGCCAAAAATACGTGATACGTGTCATACATAGGCTACGCAATTTCATGAGATCAGTCTGAGCATGGATGTTGTTGTGACTTAACGTTCCCTTCAAAATTATGCAAATACTGAGAAATGTAATATTTAAACCCCTTCTCTCTTGCTCTGGGGAGCTGGAGGAAAATCATTAGCCAGTCGATGAACATAATCGACTGTAATATTCGGCAAATGTTCAAGACATCTGGAGAAACATACATCCTCTACGTCGTCCATCAGGCTACCGGAAACTAGACACCCCATATCGGTTTCGCAGCCGGAACTAGCATATGCTAACGTGCACATAGTCCATTGTGCTGTAGGTGTGTTGGTGTGTTAAGAGTTTAGAAAATTTGTTAAAAGTATTGAAAAAATTGTCATAGCGATTGTAAAAAACTGTAATTTAGTTGAGTGGAAATACAACATTTCTTGGCGTTATTTAAATGTAGCTTTGTTTTTCAGGGAAATAAAGAAGTGCTCATGGACGATATGAGTTTTCAGTTGTCTTTTGAATGCTGTCAGGGATTCTGCATTCTGGATGAGGGTGGGCAGATCATTCCACCAGTACCGTGAATTAGAATGGTCTGGCGAGTGATTTTGTGGCTCTCTGTCATGGTATCACGAGCCTTCACTCATTGACTGATCATAGGCTTCAGCTAGGGATATAGACTTGTAGTAGTGAGTGGAAGTAGGAGGGTGCTGAGCCTGTGGTTAATCTGTAAGCAAGTGTCAACACCTTGAACTTGATGCAAGCAGCGAGTGGTAGCCAATGAAGAGAGATGAACAGAAAAGTGACGAAGGCTTGTTAAAGACAAGACGACCTGCAGCCTTCTGGATCATTTGTAGAGGTTTAGTTGGACATGATGGAAGTCCAGCCAGGAGAGCATTGCAGTAATCATGCCTAGAAATGCCCAGGGCCTGGATGAGAAATTGTGTTGCATGCTCAGTTAGGAAAGGCCTGATCTTCCTGATGCCGTGCATAGCAAACCTGCATTATCGAGCTGTCTTTGTAATGTGGTCTGTGAAGGTCAGCTGATCATCAAAGATTACTCCAAGATTTCTGACCAACCTTCATGGGGTGACTGAGGAAGAATCTAGCTGGAAAGTGAAGTCGTGCTGTAGAGATGGATTGGCAGGGAGGACGAGAAGCTCAGTTTTTGCCAGGTTGAGCTGCAGGTGATGTTCCTTCATCCATTCCGAGATGTCCGCTAGACAGTATTTGGACATGGTGCTGTGGATGTGTGACTCTCCCTACACTCCCTACAGTGGATGAGGTTAGTGATGAAGACAACTCACTTTATCAACCCCCTTGGTCTCAAATGTCAGTGCCCATGGGATTTTCAGAGAATAAAGGGTTGTCTTTCCCAGCATCCAATATGTTCAGCTTCAAGCTTAGCAAGTTGCCCAAACCCAGGTATGGTCACATCCAGTGGAGATTTCTTTAAGACTGCAAGGGAAGCTCAGCTTCCCCTATAATGTCAAACAAATAATGATCAAATGTGTACTATTGTGTCAACATTTTAATGAGTAAAAATGCGTTAGAACACGGTAATCTCGAAGACGAGTTCGTTCAGAATAAGCAACAAATAGCAGGTCGGCTGACTTGATCTCCTTCTCATGCAGCGCCTCCTGTAGCGCGTCACAGTGCATGCGTTTTCCTATGGCATTTCCCCGTTGAAGCTCGGCGTCCATTGACTTCAATGGGGCTGCTTTGAACAGTTTTTTTCAGTACTGTTAAACTAGACGGTCATTGGATAAATGCTGCGATTATGTCCCGCCCACGGACGCCGGGCGTCTCTGGGGTGAATAGGGAAGTGGGCTGGCCTGGCGTCCGGGCGTCCGCGTGATGATTGGAGGATTGCATCTCCTTTTGATTGACAGCGATTTCACCCAATAAAAAAATCGCTGACGCGGAAGCTAGTTTAAAGACTTCGAGCTCAGTCTCGTCGCGAATTTTGTGTGTATTTTACTCGAAAGACGAACTACTGTAACATATTTCTTAGTATTTGCAATTTTCATCAGATATTTCACAGTTCAACCTAATTCCCACATTTCTTCCGTCGATGTCAGGTGTCTCGTTACATGTGCGGGCGTGGTGTTTGAATCACGGCACATCTGTTTGGTTTCACTTTTGTGTTGGGATTCGGACATGCATTCTCCGCGTATTTGTTTTCGGTTGTGAGTGCACAGGATGACCTTATGGTCGTACTCATGCGTAACGTTAGCGTTCTGTCTTGTCGTGTTCGCTCTGTTCAGTGTGTTGTGTATTGTGTGGCACATGGTTTGTGTTTACATCGGCCGTGTGCTTTCATGTCATGTTTTGTCTTGTGCTGTATAGCACACAGCTTGTGTTTTAAACTAGCTGTGTGCTTTCATGTTGTCATGTTCTGTGTGAACACGTGTCTTATGAGTGTTCTCATCGTTCTTCAGGTCTCATTTTGTGTGAGCACAATTGCTTTTTAATTTGTTTTATTGGTCATGTGTTTTTGTCATGTTTGGTATGAGCACATGGCTTGTGCTTGTCATGTGTTTGTTGTGCCATATGTGCTTTCCTGTCACCTGCCTTTTTTGCTCCCAATTTATTCCCCTTGTTTGTTTTTTGTTTGTTTTTATCAATAAAATAAAGCCCATCAACTCTGCATCGAGTCCTCGCTCTTTTCACCATCCCCACACCTGACAGTCGAGTTTAAAAAAAAAGAAGAAGAAAAAAGAGCTTCCCCTCTTTGAAAGACCAGCAGCCGCCACTGGTCACATCAAGGCCGCAATTCCCCAATCCAATAAACCAGTGTTTGGATTTGGAAACCATTGTGCCATGGGTGGCAATTCAAACAGGAATAGCATTTTAAATCATGCTATTCAGAAAATCTCAACACACTCTCAGTTACGAACTCCCTATATCCTCTAATTGGGACACTACTGTGAACAAGGAGAAGACAAAGGAGGAGGAAAAAGTCAAACTCAAATCCAGTTGTCATCCAGAACTCTCTTACCTCAACTAGGGGCTACCTCGATTTCCCTCCTCCCTGATTGTAAAGCTAATCCAAATTCCCTGCTTGTTTAGTTGTGACCCAAGGAGGTTGTTCCAGTGTATAATTCCTGTCCCGTTTTGACTAGGGAGGCCATTCCCGAGTTGCCTTTCAGCCCAGACAATGCTGCTGCGGATGTAATATAATGTGGACAACATTGAATAAATAAATTTTCATCAGGTTAGATGCTGATAATTAATCACTCAAACGCCTTTATCTAAACCTCTCTACATAACCGCCGGACTCGCGTGTCCTCCATGTTTGTAGTTTTTTAACACTTTTCACTCATCTTTTTGTAGTAGTCAGTGAGCCAGGGCTCCATCGGTATCATCTGGGGGGACAAAGTCTCATAGTGATTTTTGGCAAGGTATACACACCTAGTACTAGAAAAATTACAATAGCAGTGCAGGGGTGGTAGCGAAATCACTTTTTCCAGCTCATGAAGTTACTACTAACCCCCTAAAATAAATTCTAGAGCTGCTGTGAGGTGTCTTCTCATAGTCATAGAGTCGATTACTGTGCCCAGAAAGATCACACTCTGGCTGGGGTTCAGTTTGCTTTTGTATAGAATAATTGTAATAAAGTTCAGTTAGGGGTGAAGAAGGAGACAGGATCGGCGAATAGAGGAGCTTGTGTGTTTTTATTTTCTTTGATATCTCTTCCTACGGCGCCTCAGCGCTCTTCACAACCACAACTCAGAAATAAAACAAACAGCAAATCATAAACTCTTTCCCGCTGTATACAGCTTTTTCAAGTCTCTTGGACAAAGTCTCTTCCCTCTGCTCAGACTGCCACACAAGCTCCCAGGTCTCTCTCTCTCCCTCCTCTCTCCCAGTCTGCGGCCTTTACGGTCTCCCCGCTCCAATCACTGCAAATAGACACAGCTGTTCATCATTTGCACTTGACCGACTTACTCTCCGCACAGCTCATTGACTCGTCTCTCACTACAGACGCCGCGAAAACCACGCCCCCCTACCACATACCCCCACCGCCCGACTCAGGCCGGAGAACCGTCCGGCCTGCAGCCTCCCCCCCCCCCCTCCTGGGGAGGAAGTCGGCCACCGCCATCTGCGTCCCCGGCCTGTGGACCACCTGAAACTTAAAAGGTTGTAACGCCAAATACCACCGGGTGATCCGCGCGTTGGTATCTTTCATGCGGTGGAGCCATTGGAGGGGCGCGTGGTCCGAACACAGGGTGAACTCCCGGCCCAGGAGGTAGTAGCGGAGGGTGAGGACAGCCCACCGTATGGCCAAACACTCCTTCTCAATGGTGCTGTACATCGTCTCTCTCTTCGAAAGCTTCCGACTGATGTACAGCACCGGCAGTTCCTCCCCCCCCACCTCCTGGGACAGGACCGCGCCCAAACCCCTGTCCGACGCGTCCGTCTGTAGGATGAAAGGGAGAGAAAAGTCAGGAGCATGCAAAAGTGGGCCGCCGCACAGAGCAGCCTTTATCTGGGTAAAAGCCCGCTGGCACTGCTCCGTCCACTGAATCGTATCTGGAGCACCCTTTTTAGTTAGGTCAGTCAGCGGGCTAGCGAGGTCCGAATAGTTAGGTACAAACCGTCTATAATATCCCGCTAGCCCCAGGAACTGCCTAACCTCCTTTTTGGTCTTCGGACTTGGACAGGTTGCAACTGCAGCTGTCTTATCAATTTGGGGACGCACCTGTCCATGTCCCAAGTGGAACCCCAGATACTTTACTTCCACCCGCCCAATTGCACACTTCTTCGTGTTGGCCGTGAGCCCAGCTCTTCTCAGCGTTTTCAGGACAGCACGCAAATACTGCATATGACGCTGCCAATCATTACTATAGATGATGATGTCATCCAAGTAAGCAGCGGCATATGCAGCATGCGGCCGGAGAATTCTGTCCATCAAACGCTGAAAAGTCGCCGGTGCCCCGAACAACCCGAACGGAAGCGTGACAAATTGGTGTAATCCAAACGGCGTGGTAAAAGCTGTTTTTTCTTTGGACATTGGAGATAAGGGGATCTGCCAATATCCCTTTGTTAAATCCAGTGTCGAATAAAATCGAGCGGAACCAAGCCGATCAAGCAATTCGTCAATCCTCGGCATTGGATAAGCATCAAACTTAAGTCAAGTCAAGTCAAGTCACATTTATTTATATAGCGCTTTTCACAATACAGATTGTATCAAAGCAGCTTCACAGTGATAACATGAAAGTAGCACAACACAGATCAACAACATTGCTAAACACTAAATAACCCCAACTGAGCAAGCTCAAAGCAAGCCAAAAGCAAGGCGAACTTAGACACCGCGTTCACCTTTCTATAATCCACACAGAACCGAACCGAGCCGTCAGGTTTCGGGACTAAAACTATCGGGCTTGCCCAGTCACTGTTGGATTCTTCTATTACCCCCAGGTCCAGCATTGTCTCTAATTCGTCTTGAACCACTTTTTTTTTGTGTTCCGGTAAACGATACGGGCGGCAACGTACTACGGCCCCCGGATCAGTCTCAACGTGGTGCTGAATGAGATTCGTTCGGCCAGGTAGGGGCGAGAACACATCCGCAAACTCTGCTTGTAAATTCTTAATGTCAGTGAGCTGCGAGGGTGAGAGGTGGTCGCCAGAGGGAGCCAGAGCGAAGGAATGGTGTTTGATATTCGCTTCTGGCCCGAGGTCCTCCTCTCCACCTACCACCGTCGCCAGCATCACTGTCTCAGCCTCAACCCATTTTTTAAGCAGGTTGAGGTGGTAAATCTGACGACCCCCGCCCCTATCTGTTCGCACTACCTCATAGTTGAGATCCCCAACCCGCCGTGTGACCTCAAAGGGCCCTTGCCACTTTGCGAGTAATTTCGAACTGGACGTGGGAAGTAATACAAGGACCTTATCTCCCGGTGCAAATTGACGAAGTCTAGCCCCCCTATTATATTGCTGCCTCTGTCTGTCCTGGGCCTGTAAAAAATTCTCCAAAGATAGCCGCCCCAAAGTGTGAAGTTTCGTTCTCAGGTCCAGGACATACTGAATTTCGTTTTTGCTAGCGGATGGTCCGTCCTCCCAAGTCTCCTTCAGTACATCCAACACCCCACGGGGTTGACGACCGAAAAGAAGCTCGAAAGGGGAAAACCCCGTGGAGGCTTGGGGGACCTCGCGTATAGCAAACAACAGGGGTTCTAGCCACTTATCCCAATTTTTGGCGTCTTCGTGAACGAACTTACGAATCATGGCTTTTAACGTCCGATTAAACCGTTCGACCAGACCATCCGTTTGTGGGTGATAGACGCTGGTGCGAATCGATTTAATGCCTAACAACTCGTAAAGTTCGCGTATTGTCTTTGACATAAACGCCGTGCCCTGATCGGTGAGGATCTCTTTCGGGACCCCCACCCGGGAGATTAATGAAAACAGCGCGCTTGCGACACTCTTAGCTGAGATATTGCGAAGCGGAACTGCCTCCGGGTATCGTGTTGCGTAGTCCACTAAGACTAACGCAAAACGATGCCCTCGTGCTGACCGTTCTAATGGCCCGATGAGGTCCATGCCAATTCGCTCGAAGGGGACCTGCATCAGTGGAAGGGGGCACAAGGGTGCTTTTGGAGTGGCCGGTGGATTAACCAACTGACATTCGCGACAAGACGCGCACCACCTGCGCACGTTCTCGTGAATGCCCGGCCAAAAGAATCGGGCCATGAGACGGTTTAGTGTCGCCGTTTGCCCTAGATGACCGGCCATCGGATTACAGTGAGCCGCCTGGAAAAGCATTTCCCGACGGCTCTTTGGTACCAATAACTGGGTTGTATCCTCATTTGTCTGGGCGTCTCGGGCCACCCGATACAACCTATCTTTAATTATGCAAAAATAGGGGTAAGAGAGCGGTTGGTGCGGGTGGAGCAGCCGTCCGTCGATGGACTGGACCTTATCAAACGCATGTTTGAGCGTCTCATCCTGGGACTGCTCCAAGGGAAAATCATCGCGCTCAGAGAGAATATTTCCCTCTGACGCGCTCTGTTCCCCCGCCGCAGTGCCCAGAGGTCCCGGTACAGTGTCTCCCACCTGCACCATCGCTGTCTTCCCCCGCTGCTTTTTCCCCCGAGCGGCACCCGCACATAAAAATTTCAACAAATTCGTAAAGCCCGGCCAATCCGTACCCAAAATTAGCGGATGCCGGAGGTGCGGGTTAACTGCCACCTCCACACTATGCTTTTGACCCCTGAATAAAATTTTTACCGGCATTAAGGGATAACTCACCACGACCCCGTGCACACACCGTACCTTAACCATGTGGCTGTTATCCAATGCCCCAGATCGAATCAGGCTTTGATGAATCGAGGTTTGGTTACATCCTGAATCCACCAAAGCCTGATAAGTACCCCCCTTGATACTCACGGGTATCTGGTACAAGCCAGCTTGATCGGGGGCGGCCCTTGGCGCGTCGGGGACCCGGACCAGCGTCCCCACCTCCATCACCGGACAGCGATCGATAAAGTGTCCCGGATCCCCACAGCGCCAACAGGCCGGCCCGGGCTTTCCCGCTGTCCCAGCGGCGGGAAGTGGGGCAAGGGATTGGTGTGGGGAGAGCGCAACGACCGGAGCCGGGGAGGGGAATCCCCTGCCAGGTGTCCCCCCCTCCGTCATCCTCCCGGCCGACGGGGAGTCCCTCTGGCCGCCGGATCTCCATCGCGGCGCGAGCCTGGGCGCCGGCCCACCCCGAGACCTGGGAGAAGGGATAGTTTTTCCAGAGGGGGACGAGAGAGAGACTGGGGAGGGGAAGAAAAAAGAGTGGGAGAGAGAGGCAGATGGGAGGGGTTCGCCGACCCCCGAGCACGCCACCATGTGATCTTCCGCCAGTTGGATGGCCTGGTCCAGCGACGTCGGACGGTGGCACTGGGCCCATTGAGCTGTTTTCTTGGGAAGTCTCGTGATGAACTGCTCCAGAACCACCAGGTCGACGATTGTCCCGACGTCCCTTCCCTCGGCCACCAGCCATTTACGGCAGGAGTCCCGGAGCTGTTGTGCCATCACGAAGGGCCGACCGGCCTCCTCCAGAGTCAGGGAACGGAACCGCTGACGATGTTGTTCCGCCGACCGGCCGACCCGCTGCAGAATGGCGCGCCGTAGATCTTGGTAGACCAGGAGACTGGAGACTGGCAGTTGGTGGGCGGCGAGCTGCGACTCCCCTGATAGGAGTGGGATGAGTCGCAGCGGCCAGTCTGTTTTGGGCCACCCCCGGGCCTCAGCTGTCCTCTCGAACAGGTCCAGGAACGCCTCCGGTTCATCCTGGGGACCCATCCTTGACACCGAGAGTGCCGCGGCCGATGTTGTAGGGGGGGTGGCCGCAGCCCCCTGGTCGAAACAGCTCCGGAACAACTCGCGGTCCTCCTGCTGTCCTTGAAGCAGCGCCTGGAAGCGCTGCTTGTGTTGTTCCTTAAAGGACAGCAGGGCTTGATGTTGTTCCCTCTGCATGGCCGCGAGTGATTGAATAATCTCCGTAAACGGCGAACCTGACGGGCTCGAGATGGCGACGGCAGTCTCCTTCTTCCCGGGTTTCGGCACCAGTGTAATAAAGTTCAGTTAGGGGTGAAGAAGGAGACAGGATCGGCGAATAGAGGAGCTTGTGTGTTTTTATTGTCTTTGATATCTCTTCCCACGGCGCCTCAGCGCTCTTCACAACCACAACTCAGAAATAAAACAAACAGCAAATCATAAACTCTTTCCCGCTGTATACAGCTTTTTCAAGTCTCTCGGACACAGTCTCTTCCCTCTGCTCAGACTGCCACACAAGCTCCCAGGTCTCTCTCTCTCCCTCCTCTCTCCCAGTCTGCGGCCTTTACGGTCTCCCCGCTCCAATCACTGCAAATAGACACAGCTGTTCATCATTTGCACTTGACCGACTTACTCTCCGCGCAGCTCATTGACTCGTCTCTCACTACAGACGCCGCGAAAACCACGCCCCCCTACCACAATGATCATACTCTTTTTGTGCTTTATTTGGGTCGCCGTGAAAACGGCGTTTGTTTGCAAAGGCGCGCAGTGCAGCAGGCCTGTAGTAAAATCCCCAGCCACCTGAACTAAACAGGGAGAAGTTCTTTGGGCCTTTTGGAGGGTGGTCCGGCTTGCGCGAGACATGAGCGCAAGCCTCTCCCCCCCCCCCCCCCCCCCCCCACACACACACCCTGGGATCGACAATCTTCTCAAAATAATTGATCTGATATAACTTAAAATATAGGCTAAAGTTAAAAAAAGCAACAAAAAACCAAAACAATTTAAATGAAAAAATAATTCATTGTGTATTTAGTAACCCTTCAAAATCAATATAATTAAATACTTTCAAATATGTTGCTTGCAAAAATATTTTTTATTAGAATATTAAATACATGGATTTGTTTGAATGGCTGTAAGTGAGGAAAGATTCTTTTCGAATGGTCTTTTGGCATCTTCTTGCTGGGAATATGAACAGATTTTGACTCCTTGGTGTGGCCCAGCATTGCAACATTGGCTTAAGCAATGGTGTGGTTTGGGGCGGGACTAGCCAGTAAGAGGAAACTTCTTCAGATTTGTCAGGCATATTTGCATTGTCGGGACAGCAGATTTAGCCTGGAGAAAAGTACATGTGGTCATTGCATGCGAATCCACTGGAGTCATTTCCCAATCCTACATCCTTCTCATCCTCCACCTCCTCCAACCCCTTCCTGTTTACACTCTCGCTGTCTTTGCCAATAAGAAAGAGGCCAAAAAATCAAGCAGTGATACAGTCCTAAATCTAAAGATTATGTAGCATCCAGCATGGTTTTATATTAACTTTCTGTATCAATGTCATAGTATAACAAACAGCTTTCCACTTGTAATGCCAGTACGAGTACTTTGTCTGGTTCACATCAACTCATAAGTGAAATTTTATTAGTTAAAACACACAAGTTCTGTGATGGTTTAACCTTAAACTAGTTAAAGGTGATGTGTGTAATTAACTTTTAGATTTTTTAAAGAGACCCAATTAAACACCTCAATCTTTATTGATCATACATTTAAATTAAACAAGCAAAAAACAACAACAACAAAAACGTCAAAAACATGCTTCATTATAATTCAAAATGTCTGTGGCAGAGAAAAAAAAGGAATCGCTTCATACTCACTTGGCACTGTGCTGAATCCTTCACTGCTCGCTCGGAAGTATGACTCAATTTTCTTGAGAAGTGCCTCATTGTTGAAGAACTATGAACACGAAACCACACATCCATCCAAACTTCAACAAAGTAAAATTACACAACTTACATTCATTCCGATTCACACGAAAAACAGCACACAAATTCCATCCAATGCATTGATGCACTTAAACATGATTTATTTAAAGCAACACAGTCAGGTTGAGCTGAACTGAAACCTGTAACATGAAACATTCTTTGACATTTTGAGCTGTGGTACTACAATTGACTTCAAATAAAAAAAGACATTGCAATTTTAAATACAATTTAAAATGAAAACCAAATTAAATTAATAAGGACAAATCAAATTAAACAAAAAAATATCTGTAATTGGAACTTCATTCGACTAAATATGATAAGTGACTTTTCATTCAGAAGAAAGGAGTGCTCAAAAGAACAACAGTTCACTGGCTATAATCAGAGCCGCTGTAACAGGGCTTTAGCAACGATTGCAAGGACTCTGAAAGGTTCTGTCCTGCCAAAATAGCAACCGAGGGGGCCCCAAAACAGAAGGCTGCCTGCGGTCTTTTCTTGTAATTAATATACACAACATTCCAGTTCATTTTTTTATGTGAGGAACATTGTAGTCCTCTATAGTTTTTGAAGCACCAGCCATTTTGTGGTTCTCACATTATTATCAATGGTTGCACACAGAATGTTTTATTATCAATGGTTTCACAGTAAACTAAAATGTACAATAGAAATAATTTCCAAATGTGCATGGTGCTTAAACGTATTTTCCTCAAAATCAAAAATGTTAAGCTTGCTTAATAATAAGCTCAATAAAAGAGTGTAAAAGTAGACTAAAGAGGGAAACCATATATGGATTATTTATGCTATAGCAGAGTAAAAGTAAAGGCTATGAAGTACAGATATCTCAGCTTAACACTTGACCCATCAATGATGTGCTTTCTGGCCAACATCTAATGAGAAATTTCTATTTAGAAAAGAACATAAACATATATGTATGCATTTTGACAGACAATTTGGTGGCCAATAAGAAAAAAACATGTGCCTAAAAAAAAAAAAAAAAAAAAAGTAAGTTTGGCGTCATTAAGACTTTTTGTTCTTAGAAATGTTTTTCAGTGTTCCATCCAAAGACGTAATATGTATGTATGTATATATATATATATATATATTGTTATTCATGTGAGGAGTGTTCCTGGAATTTGTCTGCCTCTGCTTTCTTTTCCTGTGCTTGCTTCCCGGATAGACTAACATGATGATCACCTGTTTCCAATCATCTACACGTGTGTGCGTAAAGGACCTCAATAATGTTGCAGAGACCGTTGGGGGAGGAGAGAGACAACACGGCATTTGAGGTTTTCTGCACTTCAATTCCAGATAATTTAGTATCCTTGTTAGTGCTGTTGGGTGCAATGTGTTTGGCACAATGTGCATTTTGTTGATGAAATATGTGATAAAGTTGAAAGTTTATGGGTAATGTAGGGATACATCTTTTCTCCTGTTTAGTGGATTGTCAGGGAGTGATTGAAGTTATCTGGTTCTTCTTTCTTTTAATTACAGGTAAGTTGGTGTTCATTCCCCTCTCCAGGTAGAGGTGTTTTTGTTTCATTTTTATTTAATTTTATTTTTTATTTAAGAAAGTAAAAGGCAGACCTGCCACTTTAAACTCAAAGATTAATGTTTGGTTTTGTGACTCTGGGGCTGGGAAGCTGGATATCCTTAAAGTCTCTCCACATGTTTATGTTTTTTTTTTCATTTCCTATTTACCCCTAGCCTATGGGCTATATGCACGCACAAGTTCCGCATTTGACGCAAGGATGCTCATCCATTTCCGGTTGTGGAGATTTAAGCGGAGGAGAACAGAGGAAAACGGGATTATGGCAGAGTCTTCAAAATTTACCGTCCTCCCGTCTTTGAAACGAAACGTACATACGTTTAGATGTAATTTTATATATAGTTATGTTTATTTAATATCATTTTAAAAAGAAGCATAAACACAATGAGGGGTGTCTGTTTTATCTGTTTTTGTGACTAATGTTTATTTATTATAACCATGGAGTATAAAATTCAATATAAATTCTCGGTATTGCATTGGACTCTACGATCGGCGGAAGTTATCGAGCATCCTTAATCCTTCACCGGAAATACCGCCGTGCATAGAGCCCATTGAGAATGTGGAGCCAGTCCGCGTTGCATTGTGGGAAGGATTCGCCATCTTGGTTGGATACGCTATCCGTTGTCATGGTTACTTCGGCAGTGAGACCGAGAGAAATAGCGGCAGAGAGAGAGAGCAGCTTGATATTTGTTTGTATTTTTGTCGATAAGGAACAGTTTCTTGAGAACAAATGAAGAAGGGGGAAGCAAAAGGAAAGTGGCTCTATCGGGAGAGGAAAAACATGGACCCGTATGACCTGCTACAGAATGGACGAAAGACCCGAAGCACTTCCACCTTTCACATACCCTGAAAGAGTCAATTACCTGGTTTATGGTATCAGTGCCTAACGTTACTGAAAGGAAGAGTTCAGAAGCTTATGAACAATTCAGCCGCGGCTGGGTGCAAGTCTTAGAAACCCCCAAACCTGTAACGTTAAACTGCGAGAGTTCAGTCATACTTGATGTTTCAGGCCTCATTCATATGTGGAAATACATCTGATAGTGATATGAATCATCAGATATGTGCATTTGCAACCGGCAGTGCAACGTCAAGCGAACATATCGGACATTCTCGTCAATGCGAGTCGTACGTCATTAAAAAAGTCTTTTTAAAACATTTCACGGTACAGATATATCTATAACAAATTAAACAACTATAGTTGAATAACAGAGTAGCTATTAATTTCGTTCGTCTGTGTTAAATAAAATATGAACTGTGCTGAAATGTTCCTTTTGAAATCATTCTTTGCTCCTGTTGCTGCTGTTAGTTTATTGACAAGCAGTTTTTCTAAATAAAACTGGCTAGCATTGATATTTAGTCTCTCCCGATAGAACCCCTTTCATTTCTCTACCTTCTTCCCCCTATATCTTCCAAAGAAACTGCCGTGGTGTATATCGCTAAAATGTAAACAAATGCTGCGCTGCGCTGTCTCTCTATGAAGTTCTGAAGGCGTCGCTCCTGGCAACCGATAGCGTCTCCAACCATCATGGCCGACCGGCTCCGACCCCGCCCAAATCGGCACGTGACTCCTCACTCTCAATAGGTGAAGACTTCTGTGTGCAGCGAACATGCACAGATAACAACAAAATAATACTACAGTAATTCTCAACTCGTGTTTCTAACACAAGTTACTACACTTAAAGGGCCAGATTTACTAAACAGGGCAAATTCTAAATAAGCACAGATGGGAGTGGAAAGTTCTGTGCATGATCTACTGATGACTTCCATAATGACCAACACAATTTCAAAAGAACAGCGCGAATTAGCATCTCGTTTAAGACATGCTTTTTTGGGTGGTAAATAAAAGGACAAATTTGGCCACAAAGGTTTAATAGGATGAATTATCGATTAACCAACAACTTTTTTACCGTAATCTCTCTCTGTTCGGCTACACTTCTTACTCAGTTTTCACTTGTATCCCCTGAACAACCACTCACACTACAGAATACAGAACACACAGGTGAGGGTGGGACTTAACTCTCATAAACCTAACTTGTAGGTGAATACCACATATTTCACATGTGCTTATTAATAATACTTTACGTATGATAGGGTTCTTCAAGGCATACACACATTTTATACACCAAAATATAGAGCTGTATACTCCATTCACATTTTAGCTCTGAACTAGAACTGTAAAAAAGTTTAAGCAGCACTTAAATTAGCAGAAAGTATCAATGTTTGCAGAGACTGCTAGCCTATTATCTGATAAAGTTTTTCTTTGCAAGAGTTGCAAACTCTTAGTTCTTTTACGAGAGGTTCTCTGCGTGATATCTTACGGTAGGGGAAAACCTCTTTTCAACAATATGTTGAAGCCAAAAATTACTCTTAATTTTGAATTAATGTAAAAATGCGTTGAGGCAGCATGCAGACACAGGCAAGGCAGCTCAGCGTGCCTTTTGGCTGTCCTGCGGCAACTGCAGCAGCCTATCGAGAGAGGCCCTTTGGTGACGGTCCAATGGGGGCGCTTCACGCCCATTTCGTCACACTCCCGCTGAAGCAGGCGTGGCCTATCCCTATAAATATAGCTCGATGGGCTGATATAGCTGATTTTTCATCTCTTCAGGGGAGCTCACGTTTCGCTGGATCCAGAGTGAGTAGCCGCGCCATCGAAAAATCCTTTTGCAGGACGAGCCATTTCATCTAAAGCCAATGGCCTTCATCTCGCCGCCTTCAGTCGCCGTTCCTGCTATGCTATCCAGCATCCATATCCTTTTGTTACTCTGCTAAGTCCTACTCTCTATTGGCATTGGACAGCGAGGACTGGGCATGCTCTGTAACCCCCCCCCCCCCCCCACTGTCAATGAGTTGCTAGGGACATGCACTCAGTCGTGCACTCAGTTACTTCAGTCATGCACTCCCGCGCTTACACCGCCGCTGGGCAGGCTGTGTCGGCTCTTCACTCGATGGCCATACTGCAGATATTCCAGGCCGACCTTCTCCGAAAAATGGACGAGGATGGCCCGGAAGCTATAGGCGTGCCGGATTCATGGAGCGCTACAGACCTTCGTGCCGTGAAATCTACTGCACAGGCCATTGGGCGGATTGTGGCTTCTCTCACCGTTGCTGAGAGACATCTACGGCTGACGCTGTCGGAGATGGCGGAAGTGGATTGTGTTCCTCGATGCGATCAACCAGTCGATCTACGAACGCCGATCCATGTGCGCTGAATTGTGCAGAATATCATATGGTCCGTTGTTTTCGGAAGAAACACAAACACGAACCATTTTCTTCTCTTCAATATGTACACGTAGCCTACTGTTCGCGCTCACCTTATCACCTTATTCACATCTCACCGGTGCACATGGATCGGCGTCCGTAGATCGACTGGTAGAGACTCTTTTTCAAAGATGGCTTCTTCCTGTATTCGCGAAGTTGACTGTGTGTATAAAATATCTGCTTATTAAACGGTATGGACACTGACAAAGTTCTCAATGCTTCGGTTTGAATGTAGGGACCCTTATTATGCTGTCGTGTTAGTGTGGGGCTATTTTAAGCCTTGTTAGTGGTAATAACAAGCGATTTTTATTTGTCATTACTCTATGCTCTATTTACTAGCGTTATAGGCTAAACTGTTTTTAGAGATAAAACTATTTACATTCGGCAATCATGAAAACAAATCTCAGAGAACGGTTGACTAGGTAACAATGTGTAATTAGACCACAGGTTCATTTTGCGCCGGAGTTGTCCTTTAAGCACTTCCTTCCGAAGTGCTCTAGCTCCGCAGCAGCTCGCACTAAACAGCCGTCTGAACCACCTGTGTGACCCTAATGTTTCTTTCCCATATGTGTCATGCCAACCAATGTTTTATGCAGTGGCTGTTAATTGTACAGGAATACAACCTGGACATCAAGCATTAGAAAAGCACTACATTTTTTGTAACTGATGCATTGTCCAGGGTGATGCGTGCTGAAACATAATTTGGTAACACTTTAGAATACGGTTCCTTCGTTAATGAATAACTACACAAGAACTAATGAGTAACACAATATTAACAATCTAATAACTATTATTAACTAACAAGAAACTCTGATTAACGAACTAATAAGTAATAACGCACAGACGAAAGTGGTAGTTCACTATTAAGTAATCAATAACTACTATTTTTTTAATACTTCCCAGAGAACTACTGAAAAAGTTTATTAACAATCTAGTAACTACTATTAACTAAAAGAAATTCTTATTAACGAATTAGTAAGTAATACAGTAGCTCACAGATGAAAGTGTTACTAGATACTTCTGTGGGAGTTACTAATTATTTGGATCCATATTATAAAGTGAAGATCATTGGAACTAACTAGTAATGACTCAAGTGTTACTAAAGACATTTTCTAAAAGTTACTAAAGTTCACCAAAAAATCTCAAACATTTGCACAAATCATGACTAGATCATGTAGTAACACTTGAGTAATTACTAGTTAGTTCCAATGATCTTCACTTTATAATACGGATCCAAATAATTAGTAATTCCCACAGAAGTATCTAGTAACACTTTCATCTATGAGCTATTACTTACTAATTATTTGGATCCGTATTAAAAAGTGAAGATCATTGGAACTAACTAGTAATTACTCAAGTGTTACTAAAGACATTTTCTAAAAGTTACTAAAGTTCACCAAAAATCTCAAACATTTGCACAAATCATGACTAGATCATTTAGTAACACTTGAGTCATTACTAGTTCCAATGATCTTCACTTTATAATACGGATCCAAATAATTAGTAATTCCCACCGAAGTATCTAGTAACACTTTCATCTGTGAGCTATTACTTACTAATTCGTTAATAAGAGTTTCTTTTAGTTAATAGTAGTTACTAGATTATTAATAAACTTTTTCAGTAGTTCTCTGGGAAGTATTAAAAAAATAGTAGTTATTGATTACTTAATAGTGAACTACCACTTTCGTCTGTGCGCTATTACTTACTAGTTCGTTAATCAGAGTTTCTTGTTAGTTAATACTAGTTACTAGATTGTTAATATTGTGTAACTCATTAGTTCTTGTGTAGTTATTCATTAACGAAGGAACTGTATTCTAAAGTGTTACCCATAATTTTATTTTTTTTAATTATTTTTCATAATTTACAATTTTATTTTCCTTAAAAAGATGTTTTTTTAATCCAATTGAGGATTTAAACAAAAATATTAGTGTTGCACCCAAGGCCATAGTAATATTTTGTTTTTTGTTGTTATTCATGTGAGAAGTTTTACTGGAATCTGTGTGCCTCTTTTTCTTTCCCTCTGCTTGCTTCCTGTATAGACTAACAGGATCACCTGTTTCCAATCGTCTATGTGCGCTGTCCGCACTCTGATTGGTACGTGCCCAAAGCACCTCAATAAAATGCTGCAGAAAGTGCTGGGGGAGGTGAGAGACAACATGACGTGCCACATTGAACTCAAACCTCAACGTTTGGTTTTGTGACTCTGTGTTGGAAAGCTGGAGAATTCTCTCCACATGTTTACTTTGTTCGTCGTTCCTTATTTTCCTCTAGCTTAGGGGAGGACTTAACATCAAGTTACAGCAAGTACACTTTAAATGTATCAAAAACAGCCTAAATAGATTTACATTACAAAAAAAATCAGCATTGATAATAAGAAATAGTGTCCCCTCATCAAAGCTATTTCACTTTTGTCGCACTGCTATTTTGCTTCTTCATATAAATTAGTGGTCACACTTTTTAATCCTGACAATATTTCTCAAAGTGGATTTATTTTTAAAAGTTCAATTCTGGATAATTTACTTCATTCTTTTATATTTAGGCCTACAAAGTTAATCGATTTTGAGAATAAAGTTCTTTAAACCCACGTTAAAATTTTATAGACCTTATACTAAAAAAAAAGTAGACAAGTACATGGGGCGTCAAGTGTATCAATCGTGGACCAAATTAGTCACTTGACATAAAATTAAATCACACTTAAATGCATTTAGTGCACAAAATATTTGCCCTTACGTACTGTATTTATGTGTAAGAAATGCATAATTGTAACTGCATTTTGTCATAACACTGCATTTTGTTTCACATAATTCATGAATTCCACAAATTTGACAGTTACACTTGCACCCCATTGAAGTAAAGACTAAAAAGTACTTTTTTAAAGGAGCATTAGTATTTTTGAATAAAGTCAGATTGGATATTGAATATATTTGAAAATGAATCTGCTAAAGAAGAAAGAGTAACAGTAAAAACTTACCAGAGAATACAATTTATCATGCTTGGTCTCTAGTAGAGTCAAAACAGATATGGAATACACATTCAAATATAAAAATATCTTCCCATTGCTTTCACAACCCTGGATGTCCAGGTACTGAGTCGGTTACAAGAAACTAATTTGTTGCTCACCAGAATACACAAGTATCTGACCTGTGATCTCATATTACATAAATCTATGACCTCAATTCTGCTGCAGACTGTAATGGAAAATTTTAGACAAAACAGATGGATGAAATTACATTCAATACAAGTTAGTGATGTAAAAAAAAGCACATACTTTAATATCATGGCAACATTAACAAGTTACTTGACAAAAGTATAAAATGGAAAGTATAGTAAATTGGTACATTTTAATGGAGTATTTACGTACACAATACTCAAAATGATAGAACATAAATTGAGAAAACCATTAATGCATAAATTCAGTTACATTTTCAATGTAATTTTTTAACACAGTAATGTGAATAGAATTTATTGCAAGGTACATCATAGTAAAAGTTGGCTACTTTGTAAAAAGACTAGAATAATTCAAATGGAGATTTCATTGCATTTTTGTCATAAAACATACACATGCATAAACAATGGACATACGTGCAAAATAAAATGAAAAGAAATTAAAAAATGATATTATAAAACAATAGAATGTAAAAAAAAAACAGATTTAAAAGTTTTAAACTTGGGACTTTTACATTTTTTTTAACTTATCAAATTTATATTTCTGTAGCTCTTCATTTTCTGAACATTGCATAGACCCTATAATATAAGCAACATTGTGTGGTTTCCATTCTTAATTGATTTTGAAACCACAGCTGGTCCTCATCATCTCTGGAGTTGAGTATTGCAGTCCAGTGCTTTTTGAATAGCAAGGGTAAAAAAAAAAAACTGAATCCCTTCACAAGCATGTGGTTATGATACTAACATTTTTTGAATCACCACCATCACAATCAGCATAATTAAACCAATGAGCCCCAACACCACTGCAGCAATATTCAGGTTTTTTGCTACCCTGGAGGAGTCTTGAGCTTTTCCAGCATCTCCAAGGCTATTAGCAGTATCTGCCTACAATAACACAAATATTAATAAAAAAAATGCAGATTACAAATGTGTCAATTTCAGTTATTGATACCTGTTTTTTAAACAAATTGTAAGTGACTTACTCTGCATGAGTAGATGATAGCTGCAACTCCAAGTGGGAAACAGCAACAAAAAGTGTTGAAGATGGACCAGGCAAGATAAGTGGGCTCATTCTTGCGGGATGTATCCATTTTTCCAAGCTCCATTGATTTTGTTTGTGTATATGCCAAGCTTTAGGTACAAAGTCAGTGTAGGGTGGGTCAAGGAACTGGTTTAAATAGGGTGGGCTGCTGTCAGAAAAAAGAAGAAGAAAAAAGGCAGGAGAAGGGAGGGGTACATAAAAGGGGGTACATTTTTCTCATGGAAGTTACAGACCATCAGATTAATCACTAAGCTATTGCATAAGTAAAAGGGACATTCTAGAAATACAGCTGGTGCAGGTGTTGAATATACATTTACTGTGCATTTGCTAACTATTACAAAAAGACTCTCTAGATTACAATAGTGCAGCTGTTGTGGTTGTTTTGTTGTTGTAGTTACTGCATGTATGATGCGAGTGATTATAGTATAGTGATGATAGTATGTGTTGTGGTTGTTAACCAGTTCTTCATTGTTATCTGTTGTTGTCGTAAAGCAGGGCTGCCAACTCTCACGCATTGAGCGTGAGACTCACGCAATTGAGCCAATTCTCACGCTCTCACGCCAGTCGGCAAAATACCTGAAAGATAAGTTTGTCTATAAATCCACCAGTTGAGCCACTCGTGATCGACTAGTTTTACCACAAATAAGTTAAAGTAAACTCTAATCTAGTCTAGAGCGATCATGCATGCGAGACAGATGTTGAGCTCCTAACGGCGCGGACGCAAAACCAGGACTGGAGTCAAAGCCAATTCCTCTCTTTACTCTAAAGGCCAATTTATACTTCTGCGTCGAGGGTACGCCGTTGTGAACGGCGTTGGCTACGCACGTAGGCGACGCCTTTGTGAGCATTTATACTTCTGCGTTCAGGTCTCGGTTGCTCTGCAGTACTGCTCCGAAACGCTAGTTGGCGGCGGAGGGTTTTAATGTTCCACTGTTTACATTGCCCGAGTTGCGACTAGGTTACTACAAGCCTGAAAGAGAGCGGATCATGTTGGAGTTGGAGCTTATTGAGGTGGAAAAACAGTTAATTTTAGTGAAATTACTAAAACTGAAAGGCAGAAATGAGAGAAGACGTCGGAGGAGATGGTACGTGTGGAAATGCGTGAGAAGGCACGTGCGGAAATGTGTAGGAGGAAATGCGATGCAACCAAGCTGACCAATCACAGATCTTGCGGTCCGCGTCGTCGCGACGTGTAGTTACATTTTTGAGGAGGTGCGCGTCAGGCTACGGCGAAGGGTACGCGGTATGGGACGCGTCTCTGCGTATGCTACGCCGTACCTACTGCGCGCACCCTACGCAGAAGTATAAATTGGCCTTAAGTGTTTTGTTATCACTCCGATGAAATCCACTACGGGTTTTCCAGTGTCACTCACAGGAAAAATTGCTCCGTGTTCGCGTGAGCAAAGTGCACACGTTTCTCTAAAAACACCCAGCACAAACACAATGCCTATTCTAAAAGTCTTGTGCTGTTTTAAGGCAAAAAGCCTCGTTTTTTAGTTCATTGGCAAAATATAACGCTAGAGACCTTCATGTTAGTTTATACATTTTACATCTCATGTTCGTCAAAAGGCAGATTTGAACTCACGCCCGAGCGCATCAGATGTTCTTTCATGAACTACAGGCTCTACGATCTACGCTACAGTAGCTGTTCCGAACTTCCGAGATGGGTGTGTTTTTGGTATAATGACAGGCACTAAAGGCGGCTTTAGTGCAAATATAGGCTATCCTTACAATAGGTGTTCCTGTGCCAAGTTTGAATACACAAAGCACAAAATGAGATTCAAAAGCGTAGATTTTCAGTGAATAATGACTAAAATGGACATACTTTACAATAAGGGTGTGTGTATGTGTATATATATATATATATATATATATATAGACTATGCGCACCGACCCCAATCTGCAAGTTTTGTTTGAGTTCTTTAATGGTCTAGTGGTAGATCTTTTGCCAAGCGTGTCAGAGGTTACAGGCTCTACGTTTTTTTCTCTCTCATCAAAACTGAATATGTTCATCAGTGGTTACAGTAAAGCAAGGACACGTTTTTGTGCATTTAATTTTGTGATTTCACCGGAATAAATAGAGAGTCTCAGCAACTGCGATAGATTGAAGAGCCACAAGAGACACTATGTATCCATGACACTGATAGCAGCGGTCACGAGCGCTCAGCTTGAGTTAAAAAAATACCAAGCTGTAAGTCATAATCATCAAAATTTTAACAAATAAAGGCTTGAAATATCTCACTTTGCATGCAATGGATCTATACAATATATTAGTTTCACTTTTTAAGTTCAATACTGAAATAAATGAACTTTTGCACAATATTCACATTTTTCGAGTTTCACCTGTACATGCCTGCGTACATATATTCAAAAGCGCATTCCTGTGGAGTGGGCTCTAAATACGTGTGTGCGTGGGTTCTCATAGGTTCGCATTTTTGAAGTTTGCGTAGAGAGAACTTGCGTAGAACGTTTTTTTGTTTCATCGAGTTTTATGGCTGCCACGTAAAGTCGTCCTCGCTTAAAGCTTAGAAGAACAGCTTTGAATTTGAGCGAGACAGGTATGTTGTAAATGAGTGTTGAAAGTATGAAAGTGAAAGTGTTGATAATAGATTAAGTCGAGATTTTAATCAATATCAGTGGATGACATGTTTTAATGCTGAGTTAAGTCACTTAATGTGCTTGAATGTCGTTATTTTTGTGTAGGCTATATTCCAAGTTTTGTGTTTAAGTAACACCAACTTTTCAACCTTCATAATATATTTCCAAGTCTCCTGTGATGGTACATCTACTTACAATAGGTTGAATGACACGTGTTGTAAGGGCTCCTTTAAGAGAGGACTTTTATTCTGACATCGGAAATCATTCTCGGACTCGAGCGCTCGTGAGTGAAATAGCTGATGTCTGCTGAAAGGTTATGTTGCGTCGATTGCTGAGGGGACATTGTTACCTGTGATGTTTGCTGCTTACGTTTCATTGAGGTGTTAATCATTGACCTACAAACTAATTCCTCTACTGCTTGTAACACCTATAACACCTTGTACCTCTGTGGACTGATCTTATGCTAATAATATATATATCATCTAAACCTGCTCAACTGTCTCCTCATCCTTATATTGAACTGTGCTCTGACAGGCACCCAGAGGGGTTCACTCATCTAATTACAATCAGATGCAGACAGTCAAATCCTTCTAAACAACACGTCTGCCATAGCCTGACGGGGTCTGTAGCGTTTTTAACCGTACTTTTAAACTTCGGGTTTCGGGTAGTAACCCCGCGGACAAAGAGAACTACAATATTCGAGTGCTTGACGGCATATACGTCACTTCCACCACAAGAAATATACGGTAGGTGGCGGTAAAACTCCTAAGCGGAGCAGCCGGTAACAAAAAGTAGTCGAAATAGAAGTACGTCCTCGTCTCAGTTCTCACGCATGCGCCCATAAGGAAGTAATATAATAGTCGAATTAAGTCGTTATTTATGTTTTTTTTTCGCACAAAAAGTAGTCTTGTCGCTTGATAAACTTATAATTGAGCCGCTGTAGGCACATGGAATATTTAAACCTTTTCTTTAATGACTTTATGGGCCGTCAAGAGCCAGTCCCTTAGGCATCCTATGTAGGACTGATTCAGCTCTCAGATTCAATCAAAAATATCTTTATTTGTGTTCCAAAGATGAACGAAGGTCTTACGGGGTTGGTACAGCATGGGGGTGAGTAATTAATGACTTAATTTTCATTTTAGGGTGAACTAACCCTTTAACTTTGTTCTGGAGCTGCTGTAGAACCAAAACAATCTCTGTTACTTTAATTTCCTATTATCACTGTAAATCCGCTTTGGATCAATCCTTTGTTAAAAGCGCTATTTAAATGAAGATGACTTGACTTTACTTGACCTACATTCGGTCAGGATGGCCAGCTCAGGTGAGCTCTGTCCTGATCCCCTACTCATGAGTGAAGACAGAACTGACATGTTGAGTTCAGAGGTCGCGAGAAGCGAATGTCAACTAGAGAACAGCAGAGGATGCAGGCCTTATATGCTCCCAGGTAAGGGGGTTGGCCTTACCTGGCATTGACTTTGTGCTTCTGTCTGTCTAGCCAGACTTGGTGCATGTGCTTCTGAAGAGGTCAGGTATGGATGCCCTTCCCATAGGTGGATCTCGAACATGAGATGATGAAAGAGAACACATCTTTCAACTCAACCATTAATGGTTGACTTATAGGCCTATAATTACTCAACATTTGACATTATTTTATAAATGTATACAGTATAAGCTATACGTGAGACACTGTCCGTACATTTTCTTGGTGTTTATTTTTTCGGGGGAAGTTCACCAGGTCTTGCCCCAACTCTCACCATTACATGGCTTGGGATTCACATATGCACATTCACACCTGGCAATTTAGCATCTTCAATTTACCTATCCTGCATGTTTTTGAAGAGCACCCAAATGAGCACCCAAATGAAACCCACACAGATTATATAAATTATATATAATTTTGGTCTTTGCATTGAAAATGATGTTTAAATTTAAACAATGTTTCAAAGTCTAGTTCTTGCAAGGATCTTTCTTATTCACTCTATGCTTTCATAGTGCTTTTATAGTTCAGGGAGTTGTATAGCTTTATCCTCGATGTCTTTATTATCTTGAAGATTAGCTGGTAACACTTTACAATAAGGTTCATTAGTT